TCACCAAATCCAACCATCGGATCACCAAACCCAACCATCAGATCACCAAACCCAACCACTGGATCACCAACTCCAACCATCAGATCACCAAATCCAACCACTGGATCACCAAAGCCAACCATCAGATCACCAAATCCAACCACTGGATCACCAAACCCAACCATCAGATCACCAAATCCAACCACTGGATCACCAAAGCCAACCATCAGATCACCAAACCCAACCATCGGATCACCAAACCCAACCATCAGATCACCAAATCCAACCACTGGATCACCAAAGCCAACCATCAGATCACCAAACCCAACCATCAGGTCACGAAATCCAACCATCAGATCGCCAAACCCAACCATCAGATCACCAAACCCAATCATCAGATCACCAAACCCAACCACTGGATCACCAACTCCAACCATCAGATCACCAAACCCAACCATCAGGTCACGAAATCCAACCATCAAATCACCAACTCCAACCATCAGATCACCAACTCCAACCACTGGATCAACAACTCCAACCATCAGATCACCAAACCCAACCGCTGGATCACTGAGTCCAATCACTGGACCAGGATTCCAGCTGCTGGATCGTGAATCCACCTGTTGGATCAAGTCCAACCACTGGATCGAGGCCAACCCTGGATGACCGAGTCCGATTGCTGGATTAAGTCCAACCATTAGATCATGGAGTCCAACCATTGGATCCAACCATTGGATCTTAGAGTTCAACCACTGGATCAATCCAACCATTGGATCACCAAGTCCAACCACTAGATCATGGAGTTCAACCACTGGATCCAACCACTGGATCATTGAGTCCAATCATTGGATCCAACCCTTGGATCATTGAGTCCAATCATTGGATCCAACCCTTGGATCTTGGAGTCCAACCATTGGATCACCAAGTCCAACCACTGGATCATTGAGTCCAATCATTGGATCAAGTCCAACCACTGGATCTTGGAGTCCAACCGTTGGATTCAACCATTGGATCATGGGAGTCCAACCATCGGTCCATGTGGTCCAACCACTGGATCAGAGTCCAACCACTGGATTGTGGAGTCCAACCGTTGGATCCAACCATTGGATCACCAAGTCCAACCACTGGATCATTGAGTCCAATCATTGGATCAGAGTCCAACCATTGGATCACCAAGACCAACCCCTGGATCAAGTCCAACCACTGGATCGTGTTCAATCACTGAATCGGAGTCCAACCACTGGATCATGGAGTTCAACCACTGGATCCAACAACTGGATCATGGAGTCCAACCATTGGATCATGGAGTCCAACCACTGGACTATGAAGCCCAACCATTGGACCATAGAGTCCAACCACTGGATCAGAGTCCAATCATTGGATCAGAGTCCAACCATTGGATCACCAAGTCCAACTCCTGGATCAGAGTCCAACCACCGGATCATTGAGTCCAATCACTGGATCAAGTCCAACCACTGGATCATGGAGTTCAACCATTGGATCCAACGACTGGATCATGGAGTCCAACCATTGGATCATGGAGTTCAACCACTGGATTATAGAGTCCAACCACTGGATCAGAGTCCAACCACTGGACCATGGAGTCCAACCATTGGATCATGGAGTCCAACCATTGGATCACAGAGTCCAACCATTGGATCACAGAGTCCAACCATTGGATCATGGAGTCCAATCACCGCATCAAGTCCAACCATTGAATCAGAGTCCAACCATTAGACCACCGACTCCCACCGTTGGATCAACCCCAACCACGCAGGCCGGGTTCCGTGACCTCAGCACTGGGAGGACACAGCCGTGCCATGACACACCCGTGCCACGCCACACCCGCACCACAACACACCCATACCACGACATACCTGTGCCACAACACACCCGTGCCATGACACACCCGTACTACGACACACCCGTGCCACGACGCACCCATACCACGACACACCTGCACCATGACACACCCGCACCACGACACACCCATAACACGACACACCCGCACCACAACACACCCGCACCACAACACACCCATGCCACAACACACCCATGCCACAACACACCCATGCCACAACACACCCGTACCACGACACACCCGGGCCACGACACACCCATACCACGACACACCCGGGCCACGACACACCCATACCACTACACACCCGGGCCACGACACACCCATACCACGACACACCCATGCCATGACACACCTGTACCACGCCACACCAGTACCACGCCACACCTGTACCACACCACACCCGTACCACAACACACCCATACCATGACACACCCGTGCCACGACACACCCGCGCCACGACACACCCATACGACACACCCACACCACAACACACCCATACCACGCCACACCTGCACCACGACACACCCGTACCACAACACACCCATACCACAACACACCTGCACCACGACACACCCGTACCACAACACACCCGTACCACGCCACACCCATACCACGCCACACCCGCACCACGCCACACCCATACCACGCCACACCCGCACCACAACACACCCATACCACGACACACCCGTGCCACAACACACCCGTCCCACGCCACACCCGCGCCACACCACACCCGCGTCACGCCACACCCGTACCACGACACCCCCATACCACGCCACACCCGTGCCACGCCACACCCGTGCCATGCCACACCCATGCCACGACACACCCATACCACGCCACACCCATGCCACACCACACCCACACCACAACACACCCGTACCACAACACACCCGTGCCACGCCCCACCCGACCGGCCCCGCCCCTTCTCCCTGTCCCCTCCCTGCACTCACGGGGAGGTTGAGCTTGACGGCGTCCACGGGCTGCTGGAAGGGCCACGCGAACTGGTGCTTCCACAGCGTCTTAAGCACCACCTTGAGCAGGTACTGCAGCTGGTTCGTTTGGCGCTTGGGCTTGTTGGGGTTGGAGGTCTCCGGCGGCGGGGGGTTGACGCCGATGCCGATGCCCTGCTGGGGCTGGGCCTGGGTCGGCGTCGTGGACATCTGCGAGCTCTCCAGCCCGTCCCCCATCACCGGCAGGTTCCGCAGCCTCGTGCCGGGGCCGCTCTCCGCCGCCATGCTGTTGATCCCATTGCATTCCTCACCGGACACCCTGCGGGGAGAGGAGAAGAGGATGCTCCAATCCCGGCTTTGGGCTGCCAAAAAATCAACCCGGTGATCTCCTCCGGACCAGGTCGCATCCTCATGGTGACCGCGCCGGGCCGTCACAACCGACGGGCATCCCCCGCGCATCCCGTGCCGGGAGAGGATGTTCCCGGGCCATTTCCTGTCCCTGCTCCTCGGAAGCCTGAGTTTTACCCTGTTCTTGCCTAATCTGGTCAAGGAGGACTCCAAGGTTCTCCCTGAAGAGCTTCCACTGCCTCAGAAGGAGGTTTCTCAGTCCCGGTAGGAACCACCAGAACGCCAAGAACGGACGTTAAACTGGTGCTGGTCAACCTTCATCTCCAGTTGAAGGAGCACAGGGTGACCCACGGGGTTCCTTCCAGCTTCTCCAGGGTCCCACCCACCCTGGTGGGTCAGCTGAGCCCAATTCCACCCCAAAGGTTGACTTTTAGGGGAAGGTTGAGCTTTGACAGGGACAGACCCAAATTTAACTCGTGGGATCTTCTGGGAGAGGATTGAAGGTCTAATTTAGAGAGAGAATTCTTCGGTAGCTCATTAGGTGGGTAATCTTTGCCTCAACAATCTTTGCCTCAACAATCTTCGGGTCAACCAACCTTTGGGTCAACGAGTCTTTGGGTCAACCAATCTTTGGGTCGATAAATCTTTGCGTCGACCGATCTTTTCATCAATGAATCTCTGGGTCAGCCAATCTTTGGGTTGATCAATCTTTGGGTTGATAAATCCTTGGGTCGACCAACCTTTGAGTCAATAAATCTTAGGTCAATAAATCTTTGGGGTCAATAAATATCTTGGCCAATAAATCTTTGGGTCAATAAATACTTTGGTCAATAAATCTTTAGCTCAATAAATCTTTGGGGTCAATAAATATCTTGGCCAATAAATCTTTGGGTCAATAAATACTTTGGTCAATAAATCTTTGGGTCAATAAATATCTTGATCAATAAATCTTTGGGTCAATAAATACTTTGGTCAGTAATCTCTAGGTCAACCAATCTTTGAGTTAACCAATCATTGGGTCAATGAATCTCAGGGCTGATAAATCCCTGGGTTGACCAACCTTTGGGTCAACCAATATTTGAGTCAATCAATCTTTGGGTCAATGAATCCTTGGGTTGACCAACCTTTGGGTCAAGCAATCTTTGGGTCAACCAATCTTTGGCTCAATGAATCTTTGGCTCAATAATTCTTTGGGTCAACCAACCCCCGGTTCAATCAATCTTTATCAACCAATCTTTGAGTCAATAAATCTTTAAATCAATAAATCTCTGGGTTGACCAATCTTTGGGTCGACCAATCCCCGGGTCAACCAATCTTTGGGTCGATCAATCTTTGGGTCGACGGAGACATCCAGGGAGACCCAAGTTGACAAACCCTCAAATAATTAACATCGGTGGATAATTGAGGCAGGAGCTAACCATGAGTAGTTAATTTGCATAGATAATTGAGGGGGGTCACCTTCAGGTCGTTAACCCAGGTTGGTGACCCTGAGCGTGCTCATTTGCATAACGAGGGGGGGTCATTTCCTTCCGTGGATAATCGTGGCCCGTAAACCCCAGGTGGATTATTCCAGAGATTCTCTTCCAAGTGGATGATCCGGGGCAGGAATCCGACCCCTCACGACTCCAGGGGGTGCTTTACACGGATAATCCTTGGGGATTTCATTTCACTACCATTCCAAGACCAGAAATTTGGGAAAACGGGCATTTCTTGGGCTGTTTTCCGGGAGTTTTTTCCCGGAGTTTTTTTCCCCCGCTCCCCTTGGGAGGCCCCGTTACCTTGTAGGATACATTGCCATGGAATTTTGCCCCGGAAAATGCTGCGGAGTCAGAAGTTGCTTGGCTTGTCCATCTATCGGCCGTGGCTCCGGGCACAGATGCCTCCAGATCCCGAATCTGGGAGAACAAACACGCCCTGAATCCCGGGAATCCAGCCCAGGCACCGGGAACACGCCCTGAATCCCGGGAATCCAGCCCAGGCACCAAGAAGGAGGAAAAATCCCAGGGAATTGTCCGGTTTTATTAATCCCAGGAATCGACCCCAAGCACCAGAAATTAGGGAAACCCAAGGAACTGTCTGGATTTTTATTGGGACCAAATTTAACCCTGTTCTCCTGAGGAATAGTTGGGAATATCGATGGAAACAGTTGGGAATCCCGATGGCCCAGAGCTCCAGGAGGAGGGGGATGGACACCCAGGATGGAAGAAGGTCCCAAACCCACCCAAACGAGGTCAAATTCAGCCAACGGCTCCGAGCGCGGCTCCGGAGGGAATTCCCGAATTCCTGCTCTTTGGGGACGCCCCAAAAAGTCCCGAAATCAGGAATTCCATGGGGAGAAGGATCCCAGGGGGGTCCTCACCTGAGCTGGGTCCTGTTCTCCTGAGGAATAGTTGGGAATTCTGATGGAAATAGTTGGGAATCCCGATGGACCAGAGCTCCAGGAGGAGGGGGATGGACACCCAGGATGGAATTCCCAAATTCCTGCCCTTCAGGGATACCCCAAAGGAGACAATTCCACCCCAAAAAGTCCCTGAATCAGGAATTCCATGGGGAGAAGGATCCCAGGGGGGTCCTCACCTGAGCTGGGCCCTGTTCTCCCGAGGAATAGTTGGGAATTCTGATGGAAACAGTTGGGAATCCCGATGGAAATAGTTTGGAATATTGATGGAAATAGTTGGGAATATTGATAAAAATAGTTGGGAATATTGATGGCCCAGAGTTCCAGGAGGAGGGGGATGGACACCCAGGATGGAAGAAGGTCCCAAACCCACCCAAAAGCGGCCAAATTCAGCCAACGGTTCCGAGCGCGGCTCCGGATGGAATTCCCGAATTCCTGCCCTCCGGGGACGCCCCAAAAAGTCCCGAAATCAGGAATTCCATGGGGAGAAGGATCCCAGGGGGGTCCTCACCTGAATTCCCAGTTGCCCTTCCCGCTGTCGCTCCCTCAGCAGCCGAAGGCTCCGAGCGGCATCTTCGGCTCCGAGCGGCTCTGGGAAGGCTCTGCAGGGAAAACATTCCATCAATTCCAGGGGGCAACATTCCCAAGGAATTCCTGGTTTTTAAGGACAACATTCCCAAGGAATTCCAGGAGTCAAGGAAAACATTCCCAAGGAATTCCCAGGTCCAAGGACAACATTCCCAAGGAATTCCCAGTTCAAGGACAACATTCCCAAGGAATTCGCAGGATCAAGGACAACATTCCCAATGAATTCCTGGTTTTTAAGGACAACATTCCAAAGGAATTCCCGGTTTTTAGCCCCAAAAGTTCTGCAAGGACAACATTCCATGAATTCCAGGGGTCAAGGACAACATTCCCAAGGAATTCCAGGAGTCAAGGAAAACATTCCCAAGGAATTCCTGGTTTTTAAGGACAACATTCCCAAGGAATTCCCAGTTCAAGGACAACATTCCAAGGAATTCCTGGTTTTTAAGGACAACATTCCCAAGGAATTCCCAGGTCCAAGGACAACATTCCCAAGGAATTCCCGGTTTTTAGCCCCAAAGGCTCTGCAAGGACAACGTTCCATGAATTCCAGGGGTCAAGGACAACATTCCAACGAATTCCCAGTTCAAGGACAACATTCCCAAGGAATTCCTGGTTTTTAAGGACAACATTCCCAAGGAATTCCCAGGTCCAAGGACAACATTCCCAAGGAA